AGTATCACAGAATGCCAGGTTGTTAGAACAAAGTGTTCTTGTGTTGAGGGAGGGCTTGATCAGAGGCCCCAAATCTGTCCACTTCCTCAGTGTATCACCATATAAATATATGTACATAGACCAATACCTCTGTTTTTATGAATTAATATATTTACTTAAGTCCACACCTAGTTTATATCTCTATCCATAGCTTTGCTTCCTAGATCTTTCCTGTTTCCTTTTACTTTCCTCTTGCCCCACCATCATGCTTGCCTTTCTTCTGCCTCTTAGTAATTCCTCTCAGCTAGATTGCTGTTGCTCCAACACCATCTTTTAAAATTTGAATTGTAAGAGTTCTTTTTATATTCTGGATGCAATTTACCTTTCAGTTACTGGAGTTTCAGGTATTTCCTCCAATGCAGTGCAGTCTTTGTTCACTTTCTTGATGATGCCCTTTGAAGTACAACTGTTTTTAATTATGGTGAAGTTCAACTGACCTATTATTTTCATTTGTCACTTTTGGTATTATATCTTAGAACACAAGCTCACAAAGAAAGCCTGTATTTTTTAAGAGTTTTAAGGTTTTAGCTCTTGCATTTAGGTTTATGATTCATTTTGCGTTAAAACATTGTGAGATTTTCATGGGAAATAAGCCTCCAGTGGTTTTACTCTAACCGTAATTCACGGATGGGATAAATTACGAAAGCGTATTGGTCAGATGACTATTGGAGATCAAAATGATAGACCTGACTTGAGTGGTTAAAACCTTGGCACTTGATGTTACTGTGGGTCTGCACTGGTTTTCAGTATTTTCTGTTTTTTTTTTCTTTTTTTTCATACTCTCTTGGGGTTTTTCTCTGATATATTTTGTCATTGTGGGTAGCATTCTTGAATCTTTGTCACGTGCTTTTTATTTTCCTTGTATATGAAGCCCAGGATTGATGAGCCTATAGAGATAGCAAATAGATGAAGGGTTCCTGGGGGGTTTGTTGGGGGTAGTGTTGGCGTGGTATAAAGGGGAGCTGATGTCAAGGAGTACAAGAAGGGAGAAAATGTTTTGAAACTGATGTAGTAGCAATTGTACAATACTGTTTGATGTGATTGAACTATGGAATGGTATGATATCTGTATTATCTCTCAATAAAATGGTCTTGAAAAAAATTAAACGTTTCCCATTCTAAAAAAAATGTGCATATGGTGCGAGGTGGGGGTCTAAATTCATTGCTTTGTATCTTTCTATCCAGCTTTCCCAGTACCATTTGTTGAAAAGATACTTCTGTTTTCTTTGTCACTTTATTTTTTAAATATTTCTGTGAGTTTGTGATTTGGGGCTCATTAGAAAGCCTTTACCTTTAAATTTAAGGGACTGAGATCTAACCCATTTACATGTGCTGTTATCGCTGGTATATTTAATCTTACTTTGAATTATTATTTAGACACCCCCCCTAGAGTTTTATACTTTTATTTGTTAACTCTAAAAAAGTGGTTGCTTTTTGAAAATTTTATCTAAAGAGTGTTTTTGTCTACTATAATTCCTCTTGTTGATAGTAAGAGACTTTTAATAATGTCCATTTTGTAAACCACATATAATAATAGTTTCATTTCTTGTGAGCCATATCTCAAGCCCATTAAATGTCAGCTTACAGTTCACCAGTGTAAACGGTGATGATTCAATTATAAACTTTTTGATGCAATGAAAGATATTGGTTATCCAGAAGGTTTGATGAAAACAACCCAAAATATCTCACATTACTTTATGGTAGTGATAAATATACAAAATACATAATGCCACTGGTGCCAACCTCTCCTATAGTATCCCAGTTTCCCTCTGAAAAAGCAGTCCATAGTTGACATCTGAATAACCTTGAGGCTCAAAACACGACATATTATTAAGGTAACATTGCCTAACTTCACCAGACTGATACAAATACAAATGAAGTTCAAACTTTCAAAATGTAATTTTCTATTTTCACACTTCATTACAGGAAGCATATTCTTTAATTGAGAAAACAGAAGGAGAACAGAATGCTCTATATTTATATCAGAGAGACTTTGAAAATTTGAAACGAAAGAAAAGCAGAATCCCTCCTCCGCCGATCGTGCTGTCCCGGACTCATTGCTCTGTGACACTGAAACCTGCTCCATTTCTTTCCGATGTCAAGGTAGGATGCACGGTTGCGTACGATCTTTACTTCATGCACCCCAGCCTAAGTCCTCTTGTGGTCATAAGACTTGATACCTTCTTGCTTGTAGGGTCTGAATAGATTTTCATCTTATTTATAAACCATGGACACAGAGTTTGCATTCAAAGTTTCCTCCTTTGGGTAACCAACAACATTTTGACATTTTAAATATTGTATCAAGCATATTTGTACATATGTTGCCATCATCATTTTCTAAACATTTTCTTTCTATTTGAGCCCTTGGTATCAGCTCTTTTTTACCTCCTTCTCCCACCCGCCCACCTTTGTGACCCCTTGATAAATTATAAATAATTATTATTTTCATAACTTACACCGACCACTGTCTCCCTTCACCCACGTTTCTGTTGTTCATCCCCCTCGGGGGAGGGGTGTTATGCATTGATCATTGAGATCAGTTCCTTCTTCCTCCCCTTCTCACCCCACATCCCCCTGTCCCCCTGCTGCTCCCATGTCTCTTCCTGAGGGATTTCTCTGACCTGGATTCCATGTGTCGTGAGCTCTTATCTATACCAGCATACATGCTCTGGTCTAGCCCACAGTGAAAGGTAGGAATGGGGTCCTGATTGTGGAGGGGAAGAAGCCTCAAAGAATCAGCAGACTATTGTGTGTTTCTTAGGTGCTATCCTGCACACTGGTTGACTCATCCCTTCCTTGTGACCCTTCTGTGAGGGGATGTCTTATTGTCTACAGATGGGTTTGTGGTCTCTGCTCTGACTCACGTCGTTCTCAACAACATGGTTTCTTGTTTGTGTCTTCTGATGCCTGTTACCTGATCCTGTCAACACCTCACGATCACACAGGATGGTGTGCTTCTTCCATGTGGGCTTGTTACTTCTCTGCTAGATGGCCACTTGTTTAATTTCAAGCCTTTAAGCCCCACATAGTATATCTTTTGATAGCCGGGCACCATCAGCTTTCTTCACTACATTTGCATCCATTTTGTCTTCAGCGATCATGTTGGGAGGGTGAACATTACAGAATGCCAGGTTACTAGAACAAAATGTTCTTGTGTTGGGGGAGGGCTTGAGCAGAGGCCCAAAGTTCCTCCACTTCTTCAATGGATTGTCATATAAATATATGTACATAGGTCAATGCCTCTATTTTTAAGAATTCATATATTTACATATGTACCTACTGATGTTTATACCTCTATCCATTGCTTTGCTTCGTAGATCTTTCCCCTGTTTCCTTTTACCTTCCTCCTGTCCCACCATCTTGCTTGCCCTTCTGCCTCTTAGTAATTTCTCTCAGCTAGGTTGCTGTTGCTCCAACACCCCGGGAGCTCTACATCCTCCTCTGTGTTGATTTTAATTCCCTAGTTGTTCTTTTTCATAAAACATTTTGATGTTTTATGAAAAAGAACTTCTTTCTTGGATTCTCTTTGGGGTATTCTTCTTGAACTTGCATACTCTTGGTATATTGGGAAAGGATTTGGAGTCAGACAGATATAGGATTTAAATTCTAGAGATATCAATAACACTTTCTGGGTTTCATCATTATATTTTTAATTTGTATTGTTTTTCTTAATTTGGCTACATAGTGTATATGTAACCGTGTTTGCTCAAATGAACGTCTCAGGGGATTGTGATATGCACTCATAGGCTGGCACAACATTATTCAGTGATTTTAAAAATAGATTCTATCAAACAAGCATTTTGAGTTTATTGTCTGTTAAGTTCTGGGCAGGGTGATCAAGGTATGAAGGTAAACTCAAATCAATTACGGACTTCTATTTAACTCTTACCTCCATACAAAAATGGTTTGTTCTAATAATGTGGCACTGTATTATACCCACCTCCCTGACACAATTGCTGAATACAAAATGGGTACATAAGCAATTGTGGTGAAGAAAGCTGATGGTGTCTGACTGTCAAAAGCTTTAGTGTCTGGGGTCTTACAGGCTTGGAGTTAAACAAGTGGCCATCTTGCAGAAAAGCAACAAAGCCCACAGGAAAGAAGTACAACAGCCTGTGTGAACATGAGGTGTCGATGGAATGAGGTATCAGAAGTCCAGAAAACAGGCATCCAAATTGATATGAAGGGGACTGCTTGTAGAGGAGTCCTAAAGTCCACCAGCAGGACAATTGGACAGTCCCTCTTAAAAGGTCCTCACGGAACGGAGGCTAAATCCAGGGTGCGGTGTGGCACTGATGGGCCACGTAACTTCCAGGTTCTCAACCTGTGGGTGGCAACCCTTGGGGTCATAATGCTTTACATTGGGGTGAAAAAGTGGTATTTTACACAGAGCTCTGCTATAATGAACATACCTCTGCTGTTGCTAGCAGTTTTAATTGACTTCATATTTATTTATGTTTTAATTTGTTATTTTTGGAAATTCAGCACAGAATCAAGACTGCTTGACTTACTACGAGTTTTTGTTGAAATATTTCTGTTTATTTAACCCAAACCTGATTTTTAGTTATTTCAGTTTTTGCTGATTTATTTTATTTTATAGTACTTGGAAAAAGGAAGATAGGAAAGTGTGGTATTTGACCTTTGGTTTTAGGATTTATCAATTAGTGCCTTATATGAAATTTCGGTACATTTTCTCTGTAGGTTAGAGTTAGGGGTTTCAGACAAGCATCACGCCCTCTTACCTATTATTAACCCACTAGATGGTGCTGTGGGCTTAGAAAAATTCTCTTTATTTGTAGCTTCAGCCATCTTATGTCTTATCAAAACCTCTTTCTAGCGCATTCATATTATTAAAAGGTGTTTTTACAGTTGTAAACGCTGCCCCTATTTATATTACTTATAACTTCTTACTTCTCCACTTAGTGATGATTTGTACATGATGTCTTTTGTGTATCCTAGTTATACACTGCTTAGTTCAGTTACACAAACTAAGATGAACAAACAGGAGTGGAACAAAGTGAAAATAGAAAGTCAGCTTGCAAAATTGCTGTTGGAGAGGATTTTACCTAAGTAATACTGGCTTATATATTAGGGCTTGAGCTAGAGCAGTAATTAACTAATCCATATCACACAGTCTTTCCGGGTTTTGTTTTATTTCTAATGAAAAGTGGTGTTCTTTTGTTTTTTTTTTTAAAGTGGGAAATCAAGGAAATTTAGTTTGTAAAAATGTCTGAGCATCATCTGCTCCTCCTCCCCACTGCCTCGTGTCCAGTGTATAGGTTCACTGGTGCCCTCGCTGTCTCCCTGCTTTGATTGTGCACATCGCAATCGCCGGAGGCAATGTCTTTGGGATACACAGATCTGGACCCCAGCATCAGAAACTGATTCACAGAAGTTGGACAGGCTTTGGTATCTGCAATTAATACAATAACCAAGTCTGTGTAAACTGCATTTTTTGTAAAGGTAATTCTGAGGGGCAGTCAAGGTTGGAGCCCCTAGTGAAGATCAGATACTAATAAAATGTTCCTGCTGGGCAGAAGTGGCAGGCATAAACTGTAAGACTGCTTACAGAGAATTGCATTCTTCAACTTCTTTCCAGCATCCCTTGCAGTTTAGGGATTGAAACGTGAGGTGGAGCTTCTGGGGAAAAGGAGCACCTTGCCTTCACACTGGCACCCCAAAGGGATGATCCACAGAGGGAACTTCCTGGGCATCAGCTTGCTCCCTTCCTGGGACCCCCACCCCCACCCCCCCATCAGTAAGTGAGAATAATTCATGCCGGTAAGGAAGTTCCGTTGTTCTGATACTGTGGCAGAAGGACCATTGCCCAAACATGCAATCATATTTAAGTTTGGTTGTTTTCATGGGATTTTTTTTGTTTGTTTGGTTTATGTCTATTTCTTAAAATGATTCAGGTGCCATCACATTTAAGAAAATCTTTCAGCTACAGGGAAAACATTAACTGATCATATTTCTATTTTATCATCCAAGCCCTTCTATTTTTTATTTTTGTCTTCCGGGTTAGCTGTTTTTTTTTCATATTCTTTTTATATCTCATTTGAAAGCCCTGCAATGCAGCGTCTGGCTTCCGTCAAGTCTTTTCTCTGTCAGTTATGGCCACGAAGCTGACTGCCATGCAGGTCTTCTCTTTGACGTCCACCTCCGGGTCTGTCTCTGTGATGATGGGTGAATTATCGTCACAGCTGTCTCTCTGTTTCCTCTAGAGCCAAAGGCTGCCAGTGATACTCCCACTGGGATGGCATCAATGTTAGAAAGTACATGGAAATCTCCTAACAATTCAGGGCCTTGCTCAGTGAGTGGTAGTTGAAATAATATTTTAGTCTTAGCAGTCCAAGGGCACACTAACCCCATCTTGGCCTTTACTTTTCTAAGATTAAATTTACATGTATTTGTAATTGAGAAAAAACATTCAATGCCTTGGTAAGCAGACTAACGGTTATCTCTTTCCTTGGCAGGTCTCCTGGTACCGAATTTTGGGTTGCAAAGCAGAAGGAAGCTATGGAAAAGTCAGGATAAACAATGACCACCTCCCAAATTCAGGAGAAGTGGTATGTCAGATGAAAAAAAAAAAAAAAAAGCTTGAAATGTCAGAAAGTCATATTATCAGCCTCTTTTTAATGGCAATTGAGTTTTGGCCCCCTTTTTAAAATGAAATCATTATTTCAGTAGATGTCTCTAATTTCACCTTTAATCATAACTAAAACCCAACAGTAAATTTAAAAAGGGTTTGTTTATTTCCCCCTGCATACTGTCACAATATTGTACTGGCCCACATATAATTTGAAATATGTTTTTGGTTAATAGATCCCAGCTGATGGTCAAAGCATTTTTGAAGTGAAAGGTTTAGAAACCAATGAAATATACATATTTGCAATTGCTGCCTATTCTTCAAATGGGAAGCTTATTGGTGATGCTATCGGGGAGACGACTAAGCCAATTCTGATTTATCCACCTCTTTCTGCTCTGACGGCTCGGACCTTCCTGACGCAGGTAGAAGACACTTCTGCCATCTGTTTTGCCTCTATTTTTCCTTCCTCCATCGAAGCAGTTACTCAGAAATTTTAGATTGGGGATAAAAAAGCACAGATATTCTAAAGCTCTTCCTGTAATATATGTTTTTCATTATTGCAGTTTAGCCTAATAAAATATGAACCATTCTTTCTCTTATTAAAGAGTTTGCACAATAACATTTTTCTTTCTAGATTACAAACATGACACACATTAATCTCAGTAATTTTGGAAAATATCAAAATGCTCATCCAGATAAAATAAAACATCCAGAGCAGCAGTTCACTGTAGACATTTTGGTTGTCACAACTAAGGAGATGCTCCTGATGGTTTAACATCTGATAATTCACAGACATCCCCTTACAACAAAGACTTCTCCAGCCCAAGCGTCCAGAGTGCAGAGGTTGAGAAATCCTGATTCAGAGAGCTCTTCAACTGCTTCTCTGTCTAGAATAACACCAGTTGCTATGTGGTGTAGAATTTTAGTTATAGCAAACACATTATTTTATACTTTAACATTTTAACTTAATATATCATTGGCATTCTCTACCCATTCTGTTAGGTGTTCTTCTAAAACAGAATTTTTAATAGCTGTGTGGCATTGTGTCTTATGGATAGATCACAGTTTATTTAGAAATTCTCTGATATTGGTTATTTAGATACATGCAAATGTTTTTCTAGGATACACAAAGCTGTCATTAACATCCTTGTATACAAATCATTACTTACATCTATGGTTATATCTTTAGTATAAAATTATAGAAGATATTTTTAGATCATTAGAGACAGGCCGGCCTGAATTCAAATATTAGCCATATGATACTGGGCAAGTAACTTCATTTTTCTGAGGCTCATTTCTTTTTTTTTAATCTGTGAAGTTGGGGTAATAATAGTAGCCAACTTTAGGAGATAATGAGGATTAAATGGAATTATTCATAGCAGAACAAAAGGGGAGAGCATCCTCAGCATTTCTCAAGCTGTAAGAAATGAAGAAAAAATTCAAATCTCAAGCTGAAATATTGAAGGATTATATGGGCAAAAGACTGATTATAACAGAAGATAGAAGGAATGCACAGAGTCACTGTATCCAAAAGAATTTGTTGACGTTCAGCCATTTCAGGAGGTAGCATGATCATGCATCGATGGCATCGAAGGAAGAAGTCCAAGCTACACTGCGGGGAGTGAACAGCAAGGCTCCGGAGAGTGACAATGCCAATTGAAACGTTTCAAACAACAGATGGCATCCTGGAAGCACTCACTGGTCTGCTCCAAGAAACAGCTACCTGACCCCCACCCGCCTTTTTGGGTGCTTATTCCAAAGAAAGTTGAGCCAACAGAATACACAAATTATAGAACAATATCATCGATATTAGACATAAGTAAATTTTGCTGAAGTTAACTTAAAAAAATGCAGTAATGCATCCACAGAGAAGTGCCAGAAATGTAAGCTGAATTCAGAAGAGGACGTTGAATGAGGGATGTCATTGCTAATGCCAGGTGCATGTTGGATAAAAGCAGAGGGTACAAGAAAGGGCTTTATCTTTTCATTGACTATGCAGAGACTTTAGACTAGGTGGATCATAATGAACCTGGATAACATTATGAAGAGGGGGGATTCCGGAACACGTCATTGTGCTCAGGCACGACTGTGCATGGACCAAGAGGCAGCAGTTTGAACAGAACAAGAGGATATGGCATTTCTTAAAACAATGAAAGGTGTGTATCAGGGTTGTAGCTTTAAATACAGTAATAATCTGCTCAGCAAATCGGAGAAGCTGGATTCGATGACGAATGCAGCATCAGGATGGAAGGCAGATTTCTGAACAGCCCTGTTTATGCAGATGACACCTTGTTTGCTGAAAGTGAAGAGTGATTGTAAGCACTTACTGATGAACATCAAACACTATCGACTGCAGTGTGCCTTATACCTCAACATAAAGCAGGCCAAAATTCCCCCAACTGGACCAATAGGGAACATCTTGAGAAATGGAGACAAGATGGAAGGCGTCAAGGCTTTTCTTTTGCTGGGTCTTCAGTCAACACCCAGGAAAGCTCTCATCAAAAAAATCCAAGGATGGATTGAGGAATCTGCTGCAGAAGACCTTTGTAAAGCGTTAAAGAGGCAAGGTGACCCGTGAGAACAAAGATGTGCCTGATCCAGCCTGAGTGCAAAACCATGACATTCACAGTCGCCTCATCTACCTGGGAAAGCTGGAGGACGACAGAAAGACTGAAGAAGAAGTGGAGCCTGTGAGGTGTGGTGTTGATGAAGAGTATGAACCAGTCACGCATCGAGAGAAGAATGCACAGGTCTTTCCTGGCAGCAGTACAGACACGCTTTCCGTAGGAGGGACAGTGGTGAGACATGAGGCCCCACACGTGGGGCATTTTATCGGGATGGACCCGATTCTGAAGACAGACCTTCTGCTTGGTAAAGTCCAGGGCTGCTGAAAAGGTAAGAGGAAGAGCCTCAAGGGGAGGAATTACCACAGTGGCTGCAGCCGGGGACCCAAACACAGCGCTGATTGCGGGAAGGGTGCCGGCTCAGACAGTGTTGTGCTTACGGTTGGGTCAGAACGGATTCAAGGGCTCCTAAAAACAGCACGTATGCCAAATTGTTAAATATAGCACTTGTCATAGAGTAGGCACTTTCTCAATATTATTGTAATTATGGATATACTCACGCTTTTTATTTTCTGATGACTAAAGACCTGGCACCTGCGAATAAAACATTAGCAAAACTACCTCATTGACCTCAGTGTCAGGCATCTAATTGCAAGCCTATTGTGGGCTGAAGAGTTGGTTGCTCTTCCAAATTTTATCCCATTTTTGTTGTGTTATTTTTCTCTCATAGTCATTTATTAGTATTATAAACCGAGGTCTTCAGGGCATTTTATATTATCATATCTTTCAAAGAAAATTAAATTGAGAGAATTGCTAGGATTTGTCTAGCAATGGCTTAGCGTGTCCCCGTGCCTCATGGTTTTCTGATGTTTTGATTTCTTTGAAATTTAATATGTCCCTTAATTTGCAGTGATGGAGTTATTCAAAGAGAGGAGCCTGATCTTTCATCAAGGCCTGATTTTTCTCCAGGGTGCAGTGTGACTCTTGGTCTGTTTCACAGAACTTTCAAGGAAAGTTAATAAAATGAAGTCCAAGATCTATGACAGGATAATGAGAACCAGTGGTCCGCCTTTCTCTACTGATAGTCTATTTGCAGCTCCGTAGTTCATTTATGCCATTTTATGAGTCTTCTCTCTCACCATGTGAAGTGGGCAAAGCCAACTTTCCTCACACATTAAACCTGCTTCATTTACATTGCAAGTTTAAGCTTTTAAGTCATATCTCGAAACTATGCCTGCTTTTGTAATGTCATTTTCACAAAAGGGGTGGATTTGCTTCTAGAGAGTTCTGTTCTAAAATCTATGTTATATTTAATGTTTTGTAGCCACGTATGGGGACGTTTTACTAAATACCTGTAGAAAATTCCACTGTTGAGGTTTTCATTTGTGCTCTTACTTGACATTAGTCTATCAACATGGATCAAGCAGGGAGGCTCTTGACTAGATTTTCCCTGGAAATAGGAAGCTGTCCATTTTATCTTTAGGGAAGCATTTCTGAAAAACCTTTGTGGAATACATGGGCTCTGTGAATGTTTCCAATTTCCCCTTCTTTATAGCCTCATTTCTTTTTACTCTTCCTCCTTCAAATAGATAGATAATGGGATATAAAAGGTGGAAAAGTAGCAGGCTGTGAACAGAATTAGGGGGAGTGCAGCAGGATCAAGTCCAGGTCACTCAAGGTCTCTTACTTTTGTTTCTCTCTGCTTTCTCCTTTTCTCGCTAAAGATTGCCTTCTATTCTTACTCATCTGTGGAGGAAGGACTGCAAGTTAAAAATTTTTTTTTAAGACTGCCTCTCAATTTCAGCTACAAACAGGGATCACCTAACTGACAGGCTCTGAATCCTCATAGGAAATCCCTGGGAATGAGATCTGACTGGGTCAGGCATTGACCTTGGGATTATCAACTATATTATAATATACTATAATTGCTAAGTGTCTTTTTCTGTGGATACTGGGGAGACTATTGAGAAAGATTATTTAATCAGTTCAAGATATTATTTATGGCTTGTTAACCCTTGCCTGGAATTGGTCCACACTAGTGGGTCCAACATGGAGTGTGCGCT